TGCTAACAGAGCTGTAGAACGTTTTATGCATGCTATAGGAGTGAAAAAGACGGCATTGCCCATACAAGACAAGACCGTCGAAAATACAACCATCACCGTGTGGGAAAGGTGGGTAATTGTGTATCAGTCTGATCAAGCCAACGAAGGCTTGAGAATAAATAAACGAAATCACTAGAACAGGAACGCCTGATCTTACGGATTAATGCTCGAGCCCATTACCCGAGACAATGTTAGACACTCCCATTTTAAGACCGACTACACGCGAGAATCCCACGCCACACGAAGCCACAGAGTATTCAATCTCACTCCGTGCGTCTGACTTAAAGACTTTAAACCCTGAGAACATCCCTTCCCTCCCCATCTTCCCTGCGCGCTATACCCAACGTCTTCAACACGCCGAGTCCAGCATGTATGAGACGAGAGAACGCCGAGATTAATAATCACACCCCGCCCCCCCCCTCTACCCATAGGACCATATAAACACAGCACATAAGTTACCGCTTTATTCTCCATGTCCTTGTATCGATCTGAAGGTCAGTAACCGAAAACAATTGTTTGTCAATACGACTTTTCAGCGCCAGATATAGCTAGGTCATAGACAATGAATTGGAGTATTAGAAGGATGCAGACGCCACGACATACCTATAACGCCCCTCCCTAGCAGAGTTATTCGCCGGCATCCTACCTCGAAAATACGAATGCGAAACGTCAAGTGAATAAGGTTCTTGTTACAGCGATCTCATCTATTTCTTCTCAGCATTTTTGGACTCGCCTTTTTTGCATATAACACCCCACTATATTTTCTCTCATTCAGCGTGAACGGGCGTGGTAGCAGTTGCGGACTTGTCTTATAAGCCACCAACAGGACCAACATCTTTGCTAAAATAATCCTCGAAACAATCACCAGGAGGGAATTCTGTGAGAACTGTATTACAGAAAATCAGGTATACGAAGTCTAAACCTCACTCGTTCTTCTCTCACTAATCGTGGTACAGTGGCGAGAAACGGGCAGGAAGCCGGATGTGTGCCTGGAATAAAGGCCAACTTAATTAGATTACATAAGTGGTTTTGGCAGATTTGAATAATTCCTTTCACCCAATTTTTAAAAACTCGACGGCCTCGAGGAGATTCGAATCCACGATAGCAACAGTAAGGCTCGGGTACCGCCAACGCTTTGACCACATGAGTAACGAGGACCAGCCAGGAGCCGTATGTTTAATCGCCCAGCCAACTATCTCGTATGCCGTCTTCTGCTTGAAAAAAAAAA